GGACGGGAGGACGTACTACCACCACACGGTGAGCAAGGAGACATCGTGGAAGAGGCCGCAGCTCGAGCCCGCCGCCGGGCCGTCGCCCGCCGCCGCGCCGCCGCCCGCCGAGGCGGCGCCGCCCGCCGCCTCGCCAGCCGCCGCCGCCTGCGAGGCAGAGGAGGGCCTGCCCGCCCGAGCCGTGAAAGAGGCGCCGTTCACGCCGTGCGGGTGTGAACAGGAGGAGGAGGAGGACCTGCCGCCCGGAGTCGCTCTGCCCGCCCGCAAGGTGCCCCCCGGGCCTCCGCCCGGCGCGCCGCCGCCGAACGCCGCGCGAGTGCCGCCTGGCCCGCCGCCCGGCGCGCCGCCAACAAAGGCTGCACGGCTCCCGCCAGGCCCGCCGCCAGGCCCGCCGCCAGGCCCGCCGCCGAGTAGCGCTCGCCTCCCGCCTGGGCCTCCTCCTGGCGCGCCGCCGCCGACTGCCGCGCGCCTCCCGCCTGGGCCTCCGCCCGGTCCTCCGCCCGGCCAGCCGCTCGGCGTGCCGCCGAACGTCGGCCGGCCGCCTCCCGGCCCGCCGCCTGGCCCGCCTCCCGGTGCGCCTCCCGGTGCGCCTCCCGGTGCGCCGAGGGCTGGCGGCTCGGCCCGAGACCACGCCGCGTCTTCACGCCTACCCGCTGTGAACAGGCGCCCCTCCCGGCCCGCCGGCCGGTCTCCCGCCACACGCCGCGGGGATGGCTGCAGCTGCAGGGCTGGCTGCAGCTGCAGGGATGGCTGCAGCTGCAGGGCTCGCGCCGGCGAGCCACACTTGGAACGCGGGGCAGGGGCCGATGCAGCAGCCGCCGCCACACTTGCAGATGCAGCAGCCGCCGCCGTCGCAGCCGCAGCAGCAACAACCGCAGCAGCAGATGCAGGGCCAGATGCAGATGCAGCCGGCGCCGCAGCCAGCGCTGCAAGTCCAGCGCGAGCCCCAGCTGGTCAGCGAGCCGCAGCAAGGCCCGAAGCTGCCGCCGCAACGCAAGGCGCTGCCGGCCAGCTTGCGCCCGCAGATGATGCCGACGGCGGTCCGCGTGCAACGGCCTGCAGTGGCGAGGCCGCGGCCGGTCCCCGTCGCCTCTGCCCCCTTCGAGCCCGAGGCGGCGCTCCCGCAGCCAGAGGGGAGGGCGCCCGCCGCGGCAGCCGCTCAGCCGGAGCAGCCCGCCCCTCCCGCCGAGGCGGCGAGCGGCGGCGCGGCGCCGGACAGCTCCTCCTACGACGAGTTCGCGGCGGCGATGAAGCAGCTCGGAGCGCTGCCCTGAATGACTGCGGGTCTTTTTTTAAACCACAAAGAATCAACGCCAGTTCGACGCCTTGTGTGTTCACACAGCTGTTGATACACTCACGCGTGTGATGTCTCCCGAGAGTGCGTCTGGGTCGCAGCTCTGTCCTCTGACTCAAAACGAGAGTGCTCTCTGTAAAGGGTGTGGATGCTGGGTTGAACATAATCGGGGGACGCGACCCACCTCGCCACAGACGGTCCCGCGCCTCGCCGCTATGACGGCCACACGACCGCAGCTCGTGTGCGTGTGGCCGTCTTTGTCCGGAGTGAAAAGTCCAACGCGTTCGTCGGTGATGGTGTCCCCCAACCTGCGCCGCGCTCGGCGAACCTCGACAGCGCTTTCGGTGGCATGCAGCTCTTTGCGACAGAAGCCTGGAGAGCAGCTCCTCTGCTGCTCACACACTCTGCACAGCTGACACAGCCTACTGTGCGGCTGCCACAGCTGTGACAGCGATGGGCTCGCCCTCACTGGCCCTCAGTCACTTGTGCTGCGGCTTGTGTGAGCGACACTGCTCGGCGACTGCCGGCACACTGTGAGACCATGGGTGTGAGGTAAAACCACGCTACCAGCGCTTGGTCACATCGGCCCCGAGGTCAGATCCATCTACTCTGTTGATGACAAGACTTGTCTACCGGCTGGAGCCGAGCAGGAGGGCCCGGCGCACAACCCGGGTTCAACTCACCCTCCACACCCCGTAAATTACTCTAGGCTAGTCCTAGTGCCAATTTCACTGTGGCACAGCCCGCGTTACAAAACCTTGATTTTGACCATTGCGCGAAAAATGTACCTCTCGGTGCCTTCCAGAGGCAGCTGCGACCCCGCCGAGTGGACGGGCTTGCGCGCCGGAGACGAGACTCGACGCCGCTGAGATCGGAGATCAAGCTCTGACAGGTCGCACGTCGCTCCTTTGACGCCGACGTGACTCACCCGTGCAGATCACATCAGGACACGTTCTCGACGCGCTCGGTACGACGCCTGCGACCCGTCTCGGGTCAGGTGGCACGACGCTCATCGCGCCTACCAGCGCTGCCATACAGGTTGCCACGACGAGGTCGAGCACGCTTCTATACGCTCGCCGAGCCTTCCTTTCCATCCCATAAGGTAGCCTGGGAACGGTGGCGGTCAGAGGCAAAGCCTACGAGGGGTGGTGGAACCACATGTCACGGCTACTGCCGGCTCGACGCCACGATAGCCTCCGAAGGCTGACTTTGCGGCACCATCATCGGACGATGTCGACGAGTTGGGTCGCTCTCGCGGTAGCCGGATGACCTCTCTTCCTAGGATCATCGGCCATGGCCGCAGGGAGCGCGGGGGAGGGCGCTGGAAGCGACACGGAGCTCCGTTGGAGACGTTTTCAAGATTAGCGTGTCAGAGTGAAATGGCACTGCCCTACTGACTAAAGTCGTACTCTGACGTTGTCTGTGACTCTATTTTCTCTCATCGAGCCCTGCGCCTCTACTGCACGCTGCCTACTAAATGGCCCACAATCCCAAGGGGAAACGCCTCTTCCCCTCTCTCCGCTTGCTCTCCCTCTAGCCGCGTTCTTCTGTCGCACCAAGAGTGCTGGCTCAGGCAGCCGAGGCCGAGCCCTTGAGCTGCGCCAGCTTCGCCTCCAGCGCCTCGATCTCCTTGGCCTTGTCTGCCGCCTCCTTCGCCTCGATCTCCTTGGCCTTGTCTGCGGCCTCCTTTGCCTCGATCTCCTTGGCCTTGTCTGCCGCCTCCTTCGCCTCGATCTCTTTGGCCTTGTCTGCCGCCTCCTTCGCATCGGCGTCCGCCTCAGGCTTGGCCTCAGGCTTGGCCGCCGGCTCCTCCTCCTTCTTGGGAAGCGACCCAAACTTGGCCTCGAGAGCTTGCTCCTCCTCCTTGGCCCTCGCGAGCCGGGCAGCCTCGGCCGCCGTGCCGTCTTCGGGCGCCGCCTCCGGTGCCGCCTTCGGCGCCTCCTTGACTTCGATGCGGACAGGGACGGGCGGCTCAGGCTCAGGCTCCGGAGGCGCCGCGGCCGACTTGGCGACCAGGAGCGTCAGCACGCCGCCGTCCCGGCTGGCCTTCACGTCACTCACGTCTTTCAGGTCGAAGGGCAGGTCGAGCGCGACGGTCTTGGACCACTTGACGCCACGCTCATCTCCTCCCGTGGCCATGATCCGGAGCTCAGAGACGTCCGGGTCCGGCGCAATCACCTCGACCTCACCGCTGGCCGGCACGGCGAGCTTGAGCTCGACCGCGTCGCCGAGATCGGTCCAGTGAGCTTGAGCGTGGTGGCGTAGCGACTCGGCCAAGGAGGCGACGCCCTCGAACCAGTGCTCGGGCGGACGCGAAAGGAGGCGGTGGAAGGATGGGCGGCGGTCGAGCATCAAGTCGGAGAGGGAGTAGAGCGGCGCTGGCGCGAAGTGCGGCGCGCGCACGAGCGGGTGGAAGCCGCCGTGCAGGTACGAGGTCGCGGGGAGCGTCGTCATGATCATGAGGGCAGGCATTGGTGGCGTGTAGACAGGACGCACCCACGAGCTGTGGACGCGTCCCCAGCAGACTGTCGTTTCCCTTTTCCCTTTTGTTCTTTTCTTTGGGCTCTGCTCTTCGCGTCCTGCTACCTCCTACCTGCTCGCCTCACGTGGCCACCTCGTCATTGTATCGACTCAGTCGGGCCACGTCGGCCGACAGTAGGACCTCTCCGTCCGATCCACTACTGCCTCCCCCGGGCCATTCACTAGAGCTTTCACCGGGAGGGCGAGGGAGGCCACCATCAGCTCGTGTGTCACATGGCCCCCCCGTCGGGCCTGGTACGGCTAGCATAACCGCGAGGTCCTCCCGCCAGGTGTCTGCCCCAGCGTGGAGTCAGCCGTGAGCCCACACCGTTTCCTCCCCTACGTGGTGTGCACGTCGACGATAACAGCCTCGGCCCCGAACGACCTGGAGACGGCGATCTCGTCAATCATGACGACCGCTCCACAGCCCCTCGGCACCGTTTGCGCCCATCTGATCGCCCCGTTAGTCTACATCTCGTGGCCCGCAGGAGGCGGTTCTCCCGCCATTAGGCGTGCCACCTCGACCATGGGGCTTCCATCAGCCGGGTTAAGGGCGGTCTCATCTCCTTCCCCGACTGCAGCTGTTGCCACTGCCTGGCATCTGCGGCCGCCCAGAGGACCCCCGTCCACTATTGGGAGCAAGCCCGTTATCACCAACGTCTCGGACGGACTAGGCCGGGGGGCGTGTCCCCCCGCCACCGCCCTCCTCGGCCCCACACAGTTGGTCACGTGTGCACCAAGATTTGTCACCCAGGCTGGGGCTGACTGAGCTTCTGTTCTCCCTCACCGGGCTCGAGTCACCCCCCACGGCCATGGGTTTGATCTCTACGGGTTGGTCGTTCCCAAGCGCCGCTGAGCTGACTCTCTGTAGGTCACGGCGCAGCCCCTCCGTTGATCTGTAGCTTGATGGGTGTGTTGCCGCCCTTGGAGCACTTGGAGTGCAGTCAGTAACCTCACATCCAGGGCCGGGGAGCTAAGAAAGAAGCGCATTGGGATGAGCACAGTTTGCCTCTCGCACCCCGTCTGTTTTCCTTTCCTTTATACTCGCACAAATCGTGTTTGGGGAATCCAGTGTTTTCCTCCTTTTTTTCCTTTCCTTTGTTTCTGCCTTGGGCTTTCGCAGGTTTGCCTCTCGCACCCCGTCTGTTTTGTTTTGCTTTTCGGGGGGTTGGGCGTCACCCCCTACCCCTACCCCCTACTCGTTGGGCGTGTAACGGACGCACTCCTCCCGTTTGGGCTGAACACAGTTTGCCTCTCGCACCCCGTCTGTTTTCCTTTCCTTTCTCTTTGACGACTGCGCAGCTCCTTGCACCGCGTGCAAGCGCACGCGGCCATACTTCGACGCGTCCAAGTAAACGCGACCGTCCTCCTCCTCATCCTCGTCGTCGTCTCCGTTCCACTCCTCATCCGAGCTGTCGTCCGGCGCCGCCACCTTGAGCCGGTCCGGCATCGCGGCGCGGCTCTCGCGACGCGCCATGATGCGAGCGGCCGGTGTATCCAGCTCCTCCCCGGCCTCGCCGCTCATCCTTCAGCTGGGGTCGACTGGGGTGAAACGGATGAGCGCGCCCTTTTCGGCGCCCTTTTCCCTTAAACCGGACCCTTTCTCTTTCCCCCCATTCCTCTTCTCCCTT